TAATGTTATATTGATTTTTGATTTATTTGATATTATTTTGAGAGTAGAAGACCTCTACTATAAATAAGTCACACTTTGCTTTATTTCTTTTATTGTTTTAAGAGTAGATAACCTCTACTATAAATAAGTCATACATTTTTATTTATTTAGTTATTTAGTTTTTGTATTTTATCTTTACCTTTATTTTAGTTATAGTTTTCTTTGATTAATAGTTTATACTATTTAATCCATTCAAATCTTGAATTATATTGATTACTAATGGCTTTGTTTAGTCAATCTTTATAATTTCTTTGATTTATTTATTTCTTTATTTATTTTATTACCCTTTGTTAAGATAATATCCATAGATATTGACACAGACTTTAGAAACCTTTGTCATTATTGAAAGTTATAGTCTAATTCCCCTCTCATTATCTTTAATTATTTCAGTCTCTCCTAACTCTATATATTAAGGTGAATTAAAGTGAAACCCCACTTACTGATTTGCCATAACAATATATAATGTAAATTTTTAAATTATATTATTAATTTATCTTTAAATCATTTTATCATTTAAATTAATATGACTTATATATAATTATTACACATTAAAATATTTCTCTAATTTTTTATATATTTCAAAACAAATAAAAAATAATAAATAGTATGATTTATATACTTTATCTTTTAATTTTTTAACTATATCTGCTTTAGCTACTATTATTTGTTTAAATAATTCTGAAGCTACTATGAATTCTAGATTGCTAATTAAATAACCAAAATATAATTCTCAAGGAAAATAATTAACTAAAGTCAATATTTCTTAGTATAAAAATATTAACTGAAAAGTTATTCTTGCTTTAAAAATACTTTTTTTAAATAATAAATCTAAAATTTAATTTTTTATTTTAGAGTTTTATGAAAACTTTATTAAAAGCAAGTGAATATTGTAAAAAAGCCAAACTATCTTTAATTCTTAAGAATATTTATGAAAGTTGATATGAGAAAATAGCAAAAAAGTTTTCTTATTTTAATAATTGTGTTAGATATTAATCTTTTGAAGAAGCTTTACATCAATATATGGAAGGATAAGATAAATTATTTTAATATTACTCTAATATTATATACCAATAATAATTTATGTTATAGCATATTATAAATGATATTATATTAAAAAGGAAGCTGATTACTGGAAAAAAAGTTAAAATAATGAGTTATACAATCTTTAAAAGAAAATAATATTCTGAAAAATGATGATAATCAACTTGAAAATAATAATTATTATTATATATTCTTTATTATTAATACTTTAATATTAATAATACATATGAATTTTTGTTAAATTTTAGAAGAAATTCAAAGTTTGAACCAGAACAATTCAATTGAAGAGATTGATAAAGAAATTGCCCATTTGCAAGCCTTAAAGAAGCAAAATACAAAAGTTCATTTAAAACAACACAATCTAAGTAAGTGCTATATATTAATAATTATACTATATATTAATATTGAATTTTTATTTTATAGGTGAATGATCAAAAAAAATGATAATTCTATTAGTTCTTCTTGTGGCACCTCTAATAGTCCTTCTCGAAACACTATGTGATGTAGCGATATGTTTATATTAATAAATGATCTATATTGAAAAAATTCCGTATTTTAATATGAGAATTGTTTGGATTTGTTACTCGGAATGCGAAAAATTCTGTATTTTAATATGAAATTTGTTTCGGAATACAGGAAAAAATTCCGTATTTTGATACGGAATCGGTTCCGGGGCTAGTTCCGGGAAATTTGGTTACACTAAGTTCTGAAAAAATTTGATAAAAATTCCGGGTCCTTTTTTTCGTAGGGATTCATCAATTTAATCTTCAAACAAAAGATTTATTAGTGACGTTTTCAGGGATATTTGAGGATTTAAATCACTCAATCGATTATCTAGAGCAATCACAATAGTTATCAGTCCAAAGATTTATTAGACCCAAAATGAGAGAGTCATCATACTGTTTGGTTATTTCGACGTGAGGTTGATATAATGGTGTGATTCAAAATTATTTGGAAAATGATTGTCATCAATCGTCACACATGAAATAACCAAAATCAGAGCTACAAAAAATAGACGAATAGGAGAATAGATATCCAGTAAACTTCTCACAGATTCTCAATCCTTTAATTCTTCTCTTTGCGATGAGTCTCTAAATTGAAATAGCTGCTACCACCTTCCGTGACCAACGACAAATGATCTTATCTTATTGGAACTGGGGCATATGTTCCGCCAAAAAAATACATACAGCAACAAAAATA